TGCTTTCCTCAGAGGCAGTACTTCGGTAAGCTGAAGTTCCTGCCTTCCCGTTGCTAAAAGCAGCCCTCTGCTAGCTGAACACTAGTACGTGGTACATTTTTACAGCAGTCTCACTGGATTAAGTCAGTAGATTCTTGTTCTTTTATTCATAATGGTATTTTCATTTGTGTCTCTCTTAAAAGCTTCTGCGCAAGTGGTAAGACTCCTGCTTTGTTCAATGGGAAAATCCAGTCTAACCTTTGTCTGGGACCCAAACACAAAACTAAGCATATCACACTTAGCCGAGGTGCTGTTTGACGATGCTTGCCAGTGCTTTTCCAGAAAGTGCTCAAATTCAGTTTTCCAAGCTGTCCTTCAAATTCATCCAGACAGCTGACAAGAAGCTTTTTTAAGCAATGGCAAGTCTGAGATTTGCTAAGACAGAAGGGGAAGGCAGCTGTTTTTAGTTATCAGAGATAATTTGAATATGACCAGGTATTTCCTGCTGGGTACAGAGAAACTGAGCACCACAGGAAGAGGGAGCAGCAACTTTTACAGAGACACATTAATGCTTGCTTTGCTGTCACTAGGCACATTTACCTGTGTTCATGACATCTTCTTTCTTCACACAGAGAATCCAGAATATTTGTGAAGTAGCATGATTCAGCCTACACTGAAATACTCAGAGACAAGTTGGCTTTCCCTCCAATTTCCTTCTCAAAAATCAGTCTGGTATTTTGTAGGGTAAATTTTCACTTCAATATGGCATCATCCATGTCACTGCTCCATGGACTGTTACTGAGCTAACCCATACCATGACACATCCTCAACTCTTGTTTCTCAACAGATCTTGGTAAATACAGTTATCTAAAGGATACCATTTGCTCCAGCTCATAAATCAAATAAACTTTCTGTATCCACTTGTTAAGTCAACTGCGTCAAAAGATTTAATTTTCCCCTTCCTTTCCCCTAAGTGATTGCTTACATACAAGCAAAACGCTGTCTGATGTTTTGATGGTTGCTGACTCCTTCCCCTTGCAACTTTGAAAACTTCTTCCTATGATACTTACGTGATGTTTGTTCATCTGGAATTAGAATAGGAAAGCAGTTGTAGCTGTGAGGCTCTTTGTGATGTAGATAGAAATCCAGCTGCTCTCCTGCGTCCCTAACCCTTTTCCCATTGCTCATAATTCAAATTCCTTTTGGCTTCAATTTTCCACACTCAACTTCAACACAAAAGTGATTATGTTGGACGTCTGAGTAAAATCTGTTGAGCCATTTTTGAATGATTCAAGTGTGAAAAAATACTGCTAAATGCTCTGACCAAATATAAATAAACAGAGGGAAAACTTAGAGCCTTTCTTTTTCTTTAGTTTTGTTTGGGTTTGTTTGGAGGGTTCTTTTTTGGGGAGGAGGGTTGTTGGTTGGGTATTTTTGTTTTGATGTTTTGGGGATTTTTTGTTTGTTTTATTTTGTTTTTGCTGTAGAGGTCACTGAAGGAAGTTTCTCAAGCCTTTTCAGAAGCGGAAGTTTAGAATGGGATATTCTGTTACCCTGTGTACAGCAGCAGCTCCCCAAACCAGCCTCATATCTTCTACTTTTCCCCAGTTCTACAGCCTTACTTCAAAACTTTACCTCTAAGTGCATATAGGCACACAAGTAAAGAGCATCATTCCACATGTGCTGTCTGTGCTGAGAGCAGCATAATTTAGGTTTACTCTCTGCTCGATGGAAGTTTACCACTGAGCTAAAAAGGGAAACCCAAAGCAACACACTGCTTTCTGTTCCAACTGAACTTTGTTCATCCAAACAAAGTGTCTGAAGGGAAGACAGGGCAAGGACACTACGTGACAAGGCCTTCCTCTGAAGGGCTGTCTAGAGCTGTACATCCGGAGATCCAGAGGAGATGTTTGATAACTAAAGACAGGCAAAAGTCATGTGGGTCTTAAAATAAAGGCCGAAATGTCAACCCAAAGAACTACAGGTTAATCTATCCCACTTTGATGATCCCTGGGGAGATAACTAAGTGTGGATTTACCAAGAGTAAATTAGTCCTGGCCCACTCAATTGCTTCCTATGATCAGGATTTCAGTTTCCGGACAAAGACAATGCAGTGCGTGTCATTTATCTTAACGTGGCCAAGGCTTTCATCACAGTGTTGCATAATATACTTGGATTCAAGTTAGAATGTTATGGTTTGGATAAATAAGCAACCATCCATCTAAAAATTCACTCATGAGGCTCATAAGAGTAGAGGTTAATAGGTCATACTTTATCTGTAAGCTAGTAACAAGTGGAGTACTCTGGGTCTTTTCCTGCAACCTGTCCTGCTTAGCATCTTTATCAATGTCCTGACTGCACTTTCACTGAGTTTGTAAATGAACCAAATTGGGGTGCAATTGCTGATGCACTCAAGGTATAGAATTTAGGTCTGTCATCTAAAGGGACCTAGACAGGTTGGAGTAATGGGACAGGAGAAACCAGTTGAAAATTATCGAGGACTAATAGCAAGTGCTGCCCCTGGACAGGAAGGACAACCTGGTGCAAGGACACAGGCTGATGCTACCTGATTGGGAGCAGCTCTGCAGAAAGGGACCTGGGGGCTTGACAAGCTGGGCACGAGCCAGCAGTGTGTCCTGGCTGCATAGATGGCCAGTTGCATCCTGAGCTGTGTCAACATGGGCACAGCCAGGACATCAAGGGGAAGGTTTGTCCTTCTCAGCATCTTAGACCACATCTCAAATACTGCATGTTGTTTTGGCTTCCCAACACAAGAACAACATTAATGAACTGGAGTAAGTTCAGTGGAGAACCCCAAGCTGCCCAGAGACTGGAGCACCTGCCTTGTGGCGGAAACTAAAGGGTCCAAGGCTTGTTCTGCCCGGAGAAGAGGTGGCTTCAGGGGGACCTAGCATTAGCTTGCCTGTGTCTGCAAGGAGGGCATCAAGTAAATGGATCCAGGCTCTTCACAGCAGAGTGTGAGAGGACGCACAAAGTGGGCATAACCTGAAACAAGAGATGTTCAGGATGGAAAACGAAAAAACCACTGGAACAAAGAAAATAAAATTTTTTTTTCACTGTCACAACAGTGAAGAACTGGAACAGGTTCCCAAGAGAGGCAACCATGTCTCTTTCCATTCTTGGAGAGTTTCATGACCACACTGGATAAAGCCTTATACAATGTGGTCTGATCTCACACCTGACCCTGCTTGTAACAAAAGTTTGGAATACAGATCTCCTGAGGTCCCTCCAGCCTATGATCCTATCATCCTGTGTTGTATTGAAGGGCAAACATAGCCTGTCCTCCTAGCTCTGCTGGTGCAAATCTGTACTGTAGCCTGAAGGTACCAGTACTGCGGTTGATATTGTGTCAGGAGGCAGAGGAAGAAACCATGAGAAAACGCTGTGTGCAGAGTGGCATGTGCTCCCCACCTGTATGCTTGCCTTACCCATTAGTCACTCCTACAATCCCACGTGTAGGGGATTTGGACTATTTTTCTATTTTATGTATGAAAAACATTAAAGAAAATTTTGAAAAAATGTTTTGTAATCCACTAACAAGCCCTGTTAATTCCATAAATGTCAGATCCAGCTACTTGGAACTTGGAGTATACTTGTTGGTATTTGTTTCAAAAAGAGGAATTTATTAAAAACTACTATTATTTCTAAGACATCTTCCCCTCCCCCCTAGCCAAAAGGTAACAGTCAGCTTTGGCCCAAAGCACATTCAGTCAAATTCAGTGATACAGATCTCCCTTTTTTTCCCTAGAGTTGGCAGTAACCATATTAGTCTAAAAAACAAATTGTGACTTCATTGGTATGAAACATTAAATATCATAGAACATGAGGGCCACTATTATTCTTACTTGATAAAATAAGTTTTAATATGTGAACAAATCATCATTTTCCAGACTCGTTCAGAAGCTCAGTGAAGTAGCTGGGGTTTCCCATCCACTGCCAGCTGGCACTGATTCAGACTTAATGTGCAGTAGTGGAAGTAACACTGGTAGGTTTGAGTCTTATTTCAGTCATGACTATAGATAAGCTTGTATTAGAGAAGCAGTGGATATAGTTGTAAAGATGATTAATTCCCAAGCATATGAAGTAGAAATGGATAATGAAAGACTGTAATGATGAAGAGTTGTGTGAGAGCAAAAGGAAACTAAAATTGCTGGATGAGTGAGTGAATGTCATATCAGAATGCCTGGAAACAGCAGTGGAAGATGGAAAAGCTAAGATCACAAAGTAGCAGCACAAGATCTTTTCCAACACAAAACTGGAGACTACTTAAGGGTTTAAATGGCTAACCAGGAAAATTAAGCACTTAAATACTTAAGAATAGTGTTGGATCAATGTTTTCATCTTCAAAATTAGGTTTACAAAAATTTATTTCATTAAGAGGTGTATTTGCAAATAGAAGAAACAAATCTTTTGATGTAACACACTAAGCAGAAAGCCATCTACAGCACTGTGGTAGTTTTAGTCTAGGCCTTCCTTGGTGACCAGTTTGTAACCGAGGAAGTGGCCATATACCCAGTATTCCCTATGATTTTTACATAAGCCAGGGGTATAAAGAAGAAGGGAGGAGAGGCCTTCGCACTCTTTCCTTCCCGTGGTTCTGAAGGCGCAGGTTCCCTGCTGGTGGTTCTGCTGTGTGGGGAAGTGAGGCCTCGTGAGGCCTTGTAGACCTTGGGTCTCCGACCTGGGCCTGTTCACCCCTCCTTAGTCAACCTGGGGTAGCATGCAGTGTTTTACTACTCTCATACAGTTAAAAACATTATTGAGTCAAACAATGATATGTTATGTAACAATTAGGTAGTATTAATCTTACCTACTTTTCCATAACCCAAAAACTTCACAGGACAATTAATGGAGTGATAAAATATCTGTACCTGGGATAGTAATATGTTTTCTCTTAGATCATTCTGAGTTATCCTGTATTTAAACTCAAGAGTTTTTTAATTATAAAAACAAGAAAAGTGAAAAAAAAAGAAATTATCTGAACTTATTAGCCAGTGAAAAGTATGCTTGGATTTTGTATCTGACTATTAAAAGAAGCTTACTCTTAAATGATCTTTCTTTGGCATATAAGTCCTCCCCAGTATCAGTAGAGTCATGGTGTATTAACAGGGAATATGAAGATACTACAACCAAGAGAGCAAAACCCTAACAAGTAAGATTATATTGTTTTGGAGTGTGTTCTTGCCAGACCTGTTTGAACACTTTTGAAAAAATGGAATTTTGACTTGGAAAGTGAGTCCTACATGCATGATTTGAAGTCTGAAAACCATGGCTAGGAATGAGAAGAGTACATTCAGTTTTAGTGAACTTTAGTCTACAGAATTTTATCACTGTCTTGTGACATAGAAATGAACTCCAATGTAACAGGACTTGCAAACAAAATTGCAAGAGTAATTAGATATATTTTGTTTAGTGCCAGAATACACACTGATCATTTTCTGATGTTGTCCCTGACCTCAGTTTTGTTATGTTTTCTTCAGGTTTATAGCACTGGAATGAGGCTGAGCTAGGAAGAGCTCAAAAGAAAATCACTTTTGTGTGAAATCATCAAAAAACAGTCACTGAACTTGTGAACATGTATGGCTTCAGGTACCCCAAGAGGGAACAAGGAGGGAATGAACACTGCAGAACTCCTGTCCTTTATCCCTTAGTTTGATTTAAATAATTTACTTATCATTTATGTAAATGTGATATTAAATCTAAAATGTTATCTCCTAGGCATAGAGCCTTAAGGCAGTTTACAGGTAACAAAAATTAGAACTAAGCTTAGATTTTAGAAATACGAATGGCCAGTATTTTGGAAAAAGAAAAAGAACAGGCCTTGTGGACATTACCAGAAGACATGACACTCTGTTTAGTTTTTGTTAAGGCTAATACAGTAGGTATGGACGGACCCAGTCCGTAAGAAGGTGTGGTTGATGAACAAGTCTCTTTGCACAAATATGGTAAGGGGAAGGATGACAGTTCACCTCATCTGGATGGATACAGCATTTCCCAAAAGCTTAAGTACTCCTCTTTAATTTGCTTATGTTCCTTTGCTCTCCCTGTTTTTTAATGCATGGTAAAGTTAGTTTTGCCTCTAATAGAGAAGGCTGAAACAGTTGTCTTGTTCACCAGGAAGGAAAAGTAGTACACAGTTCTGAGATGGGTACAGGGTGGTCCACAGTACAGTCTGTGCAGAAAATTATTTCAGACTGAGATTTGAATTTCCAGTTGCCTGCAGGTTCTTCAGTTAAGTGATCTGTCATTTGAGACCCACAGCAGGTGAGAGTGCATTAGCAAGGTCATTAAGATTGTGCTCATCTTACTACTGTGCTCCTCCCATCCTCTTATACCAATTTGAAGGCCATCAATTGAAAGGACAATTTAATACTGAATGAGTGTTTTCCTAGAAAATATGTTTACTTCTGTAGAAGCATCCCAGGTGCAAAAACTAATTTTTAAAAGACAAATGACTCTGCAGGGAAGCGGAAGGACTGTGCAGGCCATGCATTTCCCTTAAGCCATTACAATGATTGACTCAAATGGTTTGTTAGTTTAAAAGACTTTTAGCAGGATCTGGAGCACACTGTATACTGTTTATGTTTTAAGAAAACATGGACTGTGTTGATTTACAGTTCTCTATGTTTCTCCTTTAAGCAAAAATACAGACTCCCGATGAGTCCATAGAGGGGAAAAAAAAAAAAAAGACAAAACCAAACTAACAAAAGAAACACAAAATAAATGAACCTCCAAAAAATTTGCAATTCTAGAATTAAACAACACTACAGTCAGGCAAGTAGCAGCATTCAGTTTCCTAGTTTCACCATCTGCTTTTTAACTTCACTCCCTATGTGCAAAGCTAAAAATTTTAGAAGGGCAAGGGGTCACCATTACTTCAGATAATTGGTATTTTAAATATGTCAGAAATACCATGAGTGCTGGCAGGAAGCCATTAGCTGCAGACAAGGAAGCAAAATTTGTCTTCTCAGATTTATAGTGAAAAGTCCGTGCATTACACTAAACCCCTGCAAAGAAAGAGTCTTTAGAGAAAAATTCAGTTCCTCAAAGTTTCACATTTTCATCAGAATATTCCACTACCTTGTACATCTTAAATAGCTGCTTGTGCAAGAAAATTCATAACCAAGAGGAAGAGAGCTCATAGTACATGAACTCTGACTTCATACTTCTGAGAACAAACAAGTATGTAAATCCCTGCTTTTGAATGGCATTTGCATTGGGTTTGGTTTTGGGTTTTCTTTAATTGTGTTAATCTTGTCATTCTCCCATTTGGTAGCACCAAATTTTTCTTGTGGTTCATGACCACAAAGGCCCTTCTTCAATTTTGTCTGATTGTTAAGGGACAATCTTAAAACCTTTAGCAACTATATCACAGAGTGCAGCAACTAAGCTTCTGAAGTCAAATATGCCACACAAGATACTTTTACACAAACTACGTAGAATTAAAAAGGAAGTGAAGCTAAGCCTTTCAACATGCAGAGTAGCTCAAGTGAGTCCAGGGGAGGAGAAGGGGTGTGTGTAAAGGTCCACGCATAGGATATATGAGCAGGTCTTTGTTAACAAATGTATTTCTTCACGTAAGCACTTCTGAGTGACATCTAGGATACCTTAACTGAAGGAAATAGGAATTCCTGCACCCATTTAGTCTGAAGGGAAAGTTCTGCACACATGAGACTCGTACCCTCTCTACCAAGTCACATGTATTTTGTTTTACTCTGGGATGACCCCATCAAGTTCAGTTGAAGGGAGGGGGAGAATTTAGCAGCATGAACTTTTTAAAATTCCATATAGCGTCTACTATTCATTTTTAATTTGCTGCTTCTTTCATGAAAATGGTACTTATTAGGTAGAATTTCATTTATACCATATAATTAATCTGAATTAATATTGCTTGGATAGTTCTTAGAAATCTGATATTAGTGTTGGCAGAGTTTCCCCTATTGTCTGCCATGTTCTCTAAAATTATGCCAAGCCACAAGCTAGGTCATCACTGCTTTTATAGACTCAAATAAAGCTATCTAGCAATAGTATGCTTTTGGCAATTTTAGAGTTGCTATTTTAAAGCTTCTTTGCCTGGAGCTATGTAGTCTCAGGGGTTACAAAAGGAATCCTAGACTTTCCAATATAGCATCCCAGACAAGGATATATCCTGACTTTTCAGTAATTGAGAATAGCCGTAGGATTAGACCATCATTTGATACTGTGTTTGGATAAGACCCTCAATTTAGATGTTATTCATATCAGACGGGTTTTTTTAAAGTGAAGCATATTTAGGGTTTTAGTAGCTCAAGCCAGATGCCACGTCAAACTTTCTCCACACTATACATAGCCACCATCTGGCACAACTGCACCAGCACAACCCCGCAGGGCTCCAAGCGGCTGGTCCCTGTGACAGCAGTAGAGCTTAGCACAGTTCCAAGCAGGTGCAAATCAAACTGGAGCTGCAGCTCAGTTACTGCAAGACTAGTACTAGAGCAGATCACAGGTTGCCAGTATCTAATGTGTGACATTAAGGCTAGCATGAGATGAAGCTCAGATATTTGTAGTCTGTTCATCTGCATTTGTCTAAATTATGGACTGAAGAGCTTTAAATGGGCTATCATCTTACTTAAATGAGACTGCTTGGCCTGTTTTCTAACATTCAGAGTGCTGAGTCAGCTTACTCATGAGTGGGTTCTTGCCTGTCAGGTCTCTAGAGACAGCCTGGTGTGTATGAGAACTGTGTTACAAGAATCCAAATAAGGAGAGTAAACTTCATGCAGATGAAAATATTTCATAGTGGGAAACTTAATCAGTATTCATTGTGTTCACTTTTGGTCTCCCAGATTGATCCAGAGTGTATTGACTGAACCTTTCAGATGAGGTGTTGATCCTTAAAATACTCAGACCTTCACCTTTTAGTGTAGTATTTAGACCACTATTAAACACATCCAGCTGCAGCTCTGGCATTAATTAGTGATACCAAATATTTTATGCAAAAATTAAGAATTAAATATATATGCAAAATATAAAATGGTCTACACAATAACACTTGAACTGTCATTCTATTTCTTTGCAGAAGCCATGATGGACTGCCCTTAAAAAAGTATACACAGATTATTTCTATTTCATACATGGCAGCAACTTCCATCCAGGCCCCACAGAACAATGACTTAATTGGGCTATTAGGTAGACAACTCACATGAGCATATTTGCCATATTTTCTTACTCTGTTTGCAAGGATAACTAATTAGAAGCAACTCATCCAAACATATTAGAAAAGAGCTGAACACGACACCTGCTGTGCATGGTTTGTGTGCTGCATACACAAACAGTGCAGAATTGCACAGTAGAGAAAGTCAGCACGTGGCTAATGAGTGACTGCATTCACAGAATTACAAGCTTTTGGCATTTCACATAGACTGAGGAAAGTGGAGGTTAACAGTTTTGAAATTATCTATTTTATACTAAAAGTCAAAAGAGCAGCTTTTTTTTGATTCTTGTTCTACTCTGCATTGTGGTATAAAACTTATACAAAGGAATAAGAGGGATACCCTTTGTAATATCCTTAGAGAAATATTTGTAAGGGGGCATCCTCATGGCTGCCAGGACAGAAAATGGTGTAACAGTTCTGCAGGGTTATACGAAAGGTATGACCAGCCTAACGGCTAATACCTAGAAAAGAATGCATCAGAATACTCATGTTGTGATATGTTCCCAGAATACTTTTCCATCCCTTAGCAATTTTCACTTTGTTGGCTTCCAGAGGAGATGTTGCAGGCTTTGTATATCGTGATCTTTGATGGATACTGTTCCACGAATGTTTGACTGTTTTCAAATGCCTGTACACTAGCAGTATCCACACCACCCCTTGGCAAGAGATTTTTTGCAATCACTTAACTTTACTTTGGATGAGGAGGTATCTCCTTTTCCTCTTACCTGAAACCTCCCTACTTCTAATCTGGCATGAGGAACAATTCTTCTCTTGGGAGAACAGTCAAACAGTCAATACCCCCTCACAATTTCCAGGCCACTCACAATTTTGTTGGACTCAGTTGCTCTCTAGCTATCCCCTTTCCAAACTGAAGGGTCCTGGTCTTAGTGGGGAAGATCTTCCACACCCTGCTGGCTTTCACTAGACCTCTTCTATTTTTGTTGCACCCTTTTTAGGTTGAAGGAATAGAACTGCACACCATGTTTATAATGGGAGTGTGCCATGGAAGTATTCAGTGACATACTGATATAGTCTGCCTTTTACATCTTTGCTAGTAACTCTCAACACTATCCTTGCTTTCTGAGCAAGCTAGTGAGCTGATGTATCCACATGTTAATAAGAAAATTCTGATTTGTGAGATATATTAGTTTGTTCGAACCCATCAGTTAATATTTAAATTGGAAGTGCATATTTCCATGAACACTACTTAAAATTGAATTTCAACTTTCATTTGAAATTCCAGTCACTCAATCCAGTAAGGACTACATGCAATTCATTCTTCCTATCCTCTATAAACTGACATAATTGTAGGACTTTCTCACCTTGCTGCTTGTGCCCTTCTAATTTTTTTTATGACTGTGCTGAACAGCTGATCTCATCACATCAGCCTTACCACATTTCACCATAATGTGCTGCTGATGTCCCTCTCCACAGCTAAAAATAACCTTTTCCTCCTATTGTATATTAACTGTTTAATTATCTATGGAATTATCTTCCCTTGAATGCGAAGGCTGCCTCATTTCCTTGAGAGCTTTCTGGAAATCCAGGAAGACTAAATCAGACTGTACCTTTAAAAGTTCCAAGAGATTTATGAGATGTGACTTCCTTAACAAAAACCATTGATCCTCTGAAGTGTGTCATTTATCTACATGTGTACTAATTCTTCTACTGATTCTATAATGTAGCTCTGCAGCAACAGACGACTCACTGATCGAGTTTCCTGAATCTGCCCTGGAATTCCTTTTAGCAAAAGCTAATTTTAACTTGTTAGGAAAAATCCACATGCCAATCCAAACAAATCCAGATATTTATAGGTTTCTTGCTGAAATCCTGTACAGGTTGTATGAGGAAAATCATACACTAGCTTGCAAAGTCTTCTGCATTGTCCTGCATTAACTCACAGTAGTAGTATAAACAGAAGGGGAGAAATAAGAAAAATCTAATCGAAAAGGGATAAAAGACTCTCAGAGGCCAATCTGAGGTTCAAGCAAGCCTGTCTTTATCTGTAGCAATGATATACAGACACATTAGATATGTATATTCCTCCAGAACCAGTATTTTCTAAAAGGTTATGTCAGCTGGAGATGATAACTCCTATGTTATCTCACTTTGTCACTGTGAGAAAAAAAACTCATTAATTCTTGAGCCTCGTGGGTGTCCTGTGATGCCCTAAGAGGGGATGCAAGGCACCATAAAGCAGTAATTGACTGATAAAGCAGATACATTTCATCTCATATTACAAATATAATACTAGAAAACAAAGTATTGAGGACATATTGTCAGAGGTCACAAGATCCCACTGCCCCTGATCAGGTGGTATTTCAGATGCTTCAGTACTCTGTGAATTGGGCATTGTGAACATTTGCAAAAATGTTGACCAAACACTGCAAGAGCTTTTCTGGGAACCCTCTTTTGAAACAGACTTATTGTGTGTCTACACTTTTCTTAAAGCACAGTGACTTGGAGATTCTCCTTGTTACTTAAATATTTCAATTAGAATATTAGTTGTTGTCACTGACAACAGCTGGAAATGCTGCAACAAAAAATGACACTTTATATTAGCTCAGACTCATCAGTGTAAACTCGTAAAGTGTGATTACAATTTGAAAAGAGAGCATTTTGAAAAATATGAAATTTGCATTCATTGGAATACTGCTGCAAGAAATGAATGTCAAGTGACTTTAGCACTGCAGGGGCAGTTGATCAGTGGGGCTTTACCACAAAATTGTGGTGTGTAGCTAGTACATAACTAACTAACCTTTCAGTAGGGATTGCAGTGGGCAATGGAAGCTTTAATACTGGCAAGGTCTTTGCTGTACTCCTCTGATATGCTGGAAAAATTAATATCTGCCATTGTTGTTCTGGGAATTAATATGGTCAGGGACAAACTGCCAAATATAAAAAAAATTCTAGGCAATCTAAATATATTACCTCATCATTACTGTTACCCACTGGCGACTTAAGCTCCTGACTAAAACAAACCTGCGCATAATCATCTTACAAACTACAGAGAAAAAATGTCAGAAATTAGAAGAAAAATATTTCTTTAATGGTGGTAATTTTCTAAAGCATGGCTTAAAATCTTTCTGAAAGATCTGAGAGCATCTATGGAGTTATTGCCAAAGAGAACTAGATGTTACACCCTCAGGGTTTACACTGCATGTATGCAAAAACTTCTCTTACTTTGTGTGTGGCCACAGATCGACTAATGCTGATAAAGCATCTCTTTGGACAAGCAAATGGAAAATAAATCCATCAGATTCTATTAATTTAAAAGACACGTCTTCCTGCTCAGTGCATCTGAGCCTCTGAGCCACAAAATGCTGCAGGCTGGGAGAGCACTTAGAAGACATGTCATTACATAATGGCCCCACTCTTGCATTTCCCCTGTGTCTGTTGTGGGTTATTGGTCTTCCCTTAAACATGGGAACAAGTCCCCACAGAATACCAAATGAGAGTAGAGAAACACCAAAAGGGAGAAGTAGAGGCTGCCAGCTCAGGAAAAAGCACAAGTGACTCCACAGAAGATAAATGTAAAAGGGATGGGGTGAAGGATTAAAGACTCAAAAATGCAAAATAACTGGAGGAGGTGCTTAGCTGGGGTTTCCAACAGTGCCCATTGCTCCACAAAATGTATGAGGAAGCAGTGGATGCTGCCAGGATACTCTATGTGGACACATGACAGAACAAGGGAACAGAAATAGGATCCACAGTTCTTGAGGTCTCCTCTTGTCATGCTGCTTTTTTCCACTGCAGTGGGTGATCAGCTTAATCTGGCCAAGGGGAGCATGAATAAGAACATCAGGCATTAAAAAACAAGGGGGACAAGTGCAGCCAGAACCTCAGCAACAGAGCTGGATTCAAAGGAAAGACTATAGCCTAAGGGACTCAATATACTCCCCTTTGCCATGAATTGGACAGCACAGCTATGCCCATCACTTCACAGTTGAGTTTTCTACTCCTTTGATCTGTAGAAAAACATACATCAAACTTAGATCATATTCTAGCACCCGAAATCACAAATCTAATAATGAGAAATTTTTGTTTTTCAACCTTGAAAAAATTGTCCAAGATAATGTTCTGTACTGTATAGTGGGTTTTCCAGTCACAGGAGACAGAAGGAAGATTTTCTGAAAGCCTGGTTACAGTGAATTAAGAAATGCAGAGGGTATATTGCTGGTGTGTAAAATGTGACATTTACGATATTTATGTTAGCTGTGAAACTATCTTAATGTTTCTGTGGTTGAGCATCCTGTTAAAATTATTTAAATTAAAAATCTTCCTGTAATAGTACTTCTGTGTCTCTCAGGAATTGTAACAGTTGTTTCATTACTATTTGTAGAGCACATCTGGATATCTTCACCAAAAGAAATTGAAATGGTACGTACAATTTTATCCCAATTCTTTGCAATTGAATGTGACTCTAACACCACGAGATCTAAATACCATTTACGATACTATAGAGCTTTCTCTTCCTTATTTGAAAGTGGCATTACTAACAAATTTTATTTTTAGAAACAAGACTGCATTTGTTTTACTTTTGTCTGTTTAGCTGCCTTCATTCTGACAGTATTTTCTCCCAAATACATCCCCTTTTTGGCAAGTATGTGTCTTCACTTACATGGCAATACTATCAGAAACAATAAAAAGTTGCAGCTTGGGAACTCTGCTGTATATAGATAAGATTTTAGCTGTGCCTTTAGATGCAAATAATAGAATTAATTACTTCATCATACTGGTTGGATGAAATACTTCAAACTGGTTGGATGAAGTTCAATCTTAATTTAGGTCACTAATGTTAATTTAACATCATCTTTCTGACAGGCTGGAAAGAACAGCTAAAATAATATTCCCTCCCCAAAATTACCAAAGCAGTCATTTTCAGGAAATGACATACAATGGAGATAAATTCAAATTAAAATTGAGTCTGAGTAGTTGCAAACATTGCTAGTGTTGAGAGTTCAGAATCCAAACTTGGCATCACCTGTTACATTTGACCCTGAATGTATGAGCTGGGCTAAATGCATGCACCTGAGAACCACATCAATTTGGAGATTAGCTCTCATATTTGTCCTCTTGCTCAGTCAGGACCTAGTGCCCATTCCATCTGCCTTCAGCTTTGAATCCTGATGTACACGTTACAGCAGCTGTGGTGTGTCTCTGACTTGGAAGCCAGGCCCGTGTGGTCCTTGTATCCAAGGTGCAGAGGAACAGATGTGTGAGATGGGAGCTGCTACAGGCATTGGACCATATGATCACAGTCAGCTAGTGGCTCATATGAGCTCACTTTCCTTCTCTGCATGAATAAAGAGTGCTTTGTTCGCACTGCAGAATCAAAGACTACTTGCGGGCATTTCCCATGGTATAGTGGGACTGCAGAAACTTGGCAGGGGAAGTCAGCACCAAATATGCTGTGTGGCTCCGAGCAGCCTGTATACTGGTCTGCATCCCAGAACCATCTAGTATTGCAGACCAGGAAGAATAGTGAGATTTTTCTTTCAAAGCAGAAGACCATAGAAAGGAGCCCAGATCTACCTGTCTTCTCTGTGGGGACCTAATCAGCAAGTGAAAACAAACAAACAAAACCAAACCAACAAACAAAATACAAAAAACCAAAACAAACCAACCAACAAAACAAAACAACAAACAAACAAACAAACAAACCAAAAAAACCAAGAAAACACCAAACAAGAAAAATTGGAAAGGCGCCCAATACTGGAAAAGAGCCCAGTGTCCCAAAACAGCCAGTCTTCCTCCTTCAGGGTCTGCCAGCCCACTGCTCTCCTCTGCCTGCTGCGTTGTCCTGCCTTCACATCTAGCTCTTGTCTCCTGGGCTCACCTCCATGTCTCTTTGCTAAGAGCAGGGAATTAAAATCTCTTTTACTGGCACGTGCTGCCGTTTCCAAGGGAGAGCAGCCCTTTTCAAACACTGTCCCTTTGCTCTGTGCAAACACAGTGCTTAATTGATTTTGCGAACAGCACAGTCTGCTTTTCCGAGGGTTATAGTAAACTATGAAGTTTGCACTTTACACTAAAACTTAGGGGGCAAAAAAAAAAAAAAATCATTATTCGCAGGCCTTGAAGAGTTTCCACACTTCATGGCAAGATCTGCCTGTGTTGACAGGAGTGAGCATTGCCAACTGCATGTGCTGAAAGATTAGGAGTTGTCCCACATGGAGGAGCAAGGAGTGCTTCTCTTCCCAAGGATGTACTTCCGTGTTAGTAAGTATCAGCTTCAGTTAAAAGAAAACATATTACAAAACTATGTGACTGTAACCGGAAGTAGAGACTCTTACCAATCATTCCTAAACTCAAAAACATTTCAGTGTTTGATATGAGCTGCCACATATTGTAGGACAAGACTGTACAGTCTGAAATCATGGACTCATATTTTAAGGCGGAAGTGTGCAGAATTTTTTAAGCTGACCAAATTTTTATAGCCATCCTTTGACAGAGGCTTTAGAGACTGACTTTTTGAAGATAGAGAGACTATCAGTTATTTTTCACTTCAGAAATTAAAGGCAGGGTACACATCAGTTTTGAACACAGAACCCAAACCCCTAGTTTATTTTCTTCTCCACAGCTCCAAGTGCAGTTGCATTTCGCTGCGAATTCCATAAGACAGCATGATGCCTGCACCAAAATTGGGACCCCGTGAGAAGAAGTACTTATTACTAGTCTTCAAATGAGCAATTAATAGAAAGCTTTTGTTGCACAGAGCTTGCATGGACTACCTTAAACAAGAAAATTCAAAGTTTATAAACTTTGAGAAGAATTAAAGAATCTCTACACATATGTTTTGTTCCTTTTTAGCAAATGTCTTGATACTTTTTATTGCAGATAGGTATTTTGGTTTTTCCTCTGGATTATTTAATTAAATCTGAATGAACAGAGAGGGATGACTGATAGCAAGTTGTCAGTACTAGAAGGCATGGAAGGAATGACATAATTTGTTTTCCCCTTGATGAAAGCTTTAACATGTGACTGAAGTTTAAGGACATATGAGACATTAGTGTTTACATTACTTTCTTTTCTTTCTATCTTTGTCCCTAGTTGGGAATATTAACTAATGATGCACAAAAGTGAAAACAAGCTTGATTTGCAGAAGACCTATCCTTGCCCTTCATAATATGTCTTCTTCTTTATACACTTCTCGTATATCTACAAAGTACAGAGTTTTAGCAAAAAGGCAGATCTTTGTCCAGAAGGTTTTTAGTGGTGCCAGGTTCCCCATCCTTTCCTCTTTGATATGAATCTATATCTCTTTGTATATTAGTTTATAGTCAACAGGATACTGCATCATTACTCTTCCTAAGGGCGACTTCCTTTGTTTTTCTGAAGGAGCCATGATTGCCACATCTCAGTAAACTGCTGCAACCAGTTCCTAATATTTACCCTTCTTTAATAATAAACTTAATATCACATATGGTGTCCTTTTAACTTTTTAAGTTGATATAGTCATTGAACTTAACAGTGAGTGGCAAAAATGGAAATTAACATTGGTGACATGAGGAAGTTGTTCTTTCAAGCACTGAGCACACTCTGTTCCTGGCTCTTGGAGGTCCCATCACAAATACTCCTGTACTGCAGTGATAGATCCCTACTCCCCTTAACTTTGTATCTTCACATACGTGAAAAAGACACATTATATAGCATTTTCTTAGAATATATGTATAGAGAACCATTTCTTGGTAAATATTCTTAATAGGACCGTAATTATATTCCCCAAAGTTTAGGGCCAAAATCAATGATTATTAATATAAAAATACAAATAGAAGTATTTTCTTTATTGATTTCATTCTGCTCCATAATGTTGTACCATGGTAACTCAACCTATTTTATAGTGCCTTTTTACTGGGGATGTAATAATTCCATGATAGTCAGTGTGTGACAATTACTGGAAACTAATTGAAATTCCATCAAATTAACTACTGTAGGTATATTTTGTTTACTTGAAGAAGTAAGAGTTTGATGTCATGCCTATGACTGAAATCTCAGTGGTAACTCTTATGACGAGCAGTCACTAACTAAGCATTTGAAATGGGCAGAAATTCCTGCTAGTGCAGGGAGGTGGCATCTGCTATATACCCTGCAAGTGCACAGGTGGGTTTGGCTGAGTGGGCCAGACCTGGTTAGCAGAAATATTACAACTGCTAAGTTTTAAAATTGGGCACATTGCTATACATGTTTGAAAGAGGGCTCAAATAAACTGTTTGCTGTGCCCAACTAGGGTTAAAACCTGTAGGATGAGTGAGTTTAGGTCAGCTTATAAAAGGATGGAGGAAGAGCCAAAGCAACGATTCCCCTGCTACTTGGCACAGCTAAGTAATAATAGTTCTGTCACAGTTCATATGATACCTTCACAGAGGATTTTCTTCTTCCATTCCTAAATCCCAAACAGGAGTAATGCCACTAAGAACTTCCTGCATCCCACAGCTGCAGGAATGAATTGTTGAAGAGTCACTATTGAACATGACTGAAGAGCAGCATATAACATAAAGCTTAGCAAGAGGGATAGTCACTCAGAAGCTTAAGAGAAGAGCTCAGCTTTACCAGGGTGCCCAGAGGCAGCAGTTTTACTGACTGAGTATTTGGGTGTTGCTGGGTTTCATTGCTGCTCTTTGCCTAGTAAGGCTGTGTTCCTGTTCAGGTCTGACCAACTGCCCAGTTGGACTAATATACCTTCCCAAGGAGCTGGCTGGCTGAGAGCTGGTGACTGAGGGATCAGCAGGAACACCCAAAAACCAGATCTGGTTCCTATTACTCCCATGCAGCACAGGGTGACAAGGTGTGTCCTCTTTTTCCTCTGGAGTGTAGGCAAAGATCATCTAATTTAATTTTTGTTTGATTATTTTTAGTTTATATTGCTACACAGAATCACAGAATATGCTGAGTTGGAAGAGACCCACAAGGATCATTGAGTTCAATGCCTGGACCTGGACAGGACACCTCAAGAAGCATACCATGTGCCTGAGAGCATTGTCCAAATGCTTCCTGGACACAGACAGGCTTGCTGCTGTAACCACTTCCCTAGGCAGCCTGTTCCAGTGCCCAACCACACTCTGAGAGAAGAATCTTTTCCTGATATCCAACCTAAACCTCTCCTGACTCAGCTTCATGCTGTTTCCTTGAGTCCTGTCACTGGTCATGACAATGAAGAGATTGGTACCTGCCCCTCCTCTTCCCCTCATGAGGATATTGAAGGTACAATGAGGTCTCCCCTCAGTCTGCTCTTCTCCAGGCTTAATGAACCCAAGTGACCTCAGCTGTTCCTTGTATGGCTTCCCCCTCCTGACCCTTCACCATCTTCACAGCCCTCCTTTGGACACTCTCTCGTAGTTTCATGTCTTTCTTATATTACAGTGCCCAAAACTGCACACAATGTTCAAGGTGAGGCCACACCAGTGCAGAGCAGAGCAGGACAATCCTCTCCCTTGACCAGCTGGTGATGCTTTGCCTGATGCCCCCCAGGACATGGTTGGCCCTCCTGGCTGCCAGAGCACTGCTGACTCATATTCAACTCGCCATCAATAAAGACCCTGAGATCCTTTTCCACCTTGCTGCTCTCCATCATCTCATTCCCCAGTCTATACACACAACCAGGGTTGCTCCACCCCAGGTGCAGAATCCAGCACTTTCCCTTGTTGAACATCATATGGTTGGTGATTACACATCTCTCTAATTTGTTGAGGTCTCTCTGCAGGGCTTCTCTGCCCTTGAGGGAGTTGACAGCTCCTCCCAATTTAGTGTTATTGGCAAACTTAGTATTCCTTCGAGTCCTGCATCTAAGTTATTAAATAAGATATTGAAAAGAACTGGTGCAAGTATGGAGCCTTGTGGAACCCTACTAATGACCAGTCACCAACCTGATGTTACCCCATTCACTATAACTCTTGTGTGTGACCTGTGAGCCAGTTGCTCACCCATCTCATAACATGTTAATCCAGCTGTGTGCTGGATATTTTGTCCAGAAGGATACTGTGTAAGACAGTATGGAAAGCTTTGCTGAAATCCAAAAAGATTATATCAGCTGGCTTCCCTTGATCGGCTAGGGGGGTCATAGAAGAAAATCAAGCAGGACTTTCCCTCATGAAACCATACTGACTGTGACCAATGATTGCTGCATCCTCCAGGTGTTTTTCAATACCTCCCAGAATAATCTTTTCCATGATTTACAGGGCACTGAAGTGAGACTGACAGGCCTGTAGTTTCCTGGGTCCTCCTTCTCACCCTTCTTGAAAATCAGGACAATGGTCACCAGCTTCCAGTCAGCTGGAATTCTCCAAATCGATCAAAAATCATTGAGATGTTTTGTGATGACATCAGCCAGCTCTTTGAGGATCTAGGATGAATCTCATCAGGCCCCATAGATTTGTAGGGATCCAGCTGGAGCAGCAGATCCCATACAAGTTAAGGGTCAACTGGGAGTTGATCATTCTCGCAGTCATGGTCCTCACCTCAGGGCACTGAGACCCCCTTGGTCCATCATCCATGTTGAAGACAGAGATAAAGAAAGAGTTAAACACCTCTGCTTTTTCTATGTCCCTGTTTGTGAAGTGACCATCCTCATCCTGTAATGGGTCAATGATATTTCTATACTACCTATTTCCACTAATGTATTTGAAAAAACTTTTTTCATTGTTCCCCACATTTCTGGCCAGCTTCAACTTCAGTTCAGCAGTGGCCTCCATATTATTAATCATCAATAATCCACTTTTCTGCTGCTATAGCACATGGATAATTAAGGGAAAATAGCCCCAAGAGATGCAAATATCTAACAAAAATGACCAGGGAATTCTTTAAATTAAAATTATTAAACACTCCCTTTTTAAGTTGAACAAAATGTTTTCTTCAATTTGAAATCATTCTTTTGGAGGAATTCTTCAACTTCCTGTCAAAATGTTGTCCCTGAGCAGTGAAATGAGAAATCCACTTCTCAGAGCAAGATTAGGTAGCTGAAACACAAGATACACTGCACCCCTGTGATGATAAACCAAAGTGTCTTGTCTTGTCTTTCCTCTACCCTGTGAAGTGTTAAGAGCACAAATTAGGAATTCCTCTGAAATATTGAGGAAAGTGATTAAACTGTTAGTGAATTTGCCTATATACCTGAACAGTAAGCATGCAAAGGAGAACAGATGCTAAAATACCTATAGATGGCTCTGGTTTATTTTTTCTTATTTAGCTTCTGTGTACTTACATTTTGGTCTGACTGCACCAGCATGCACATGAAATGGAATCTAAGTGGAATACTAAACACCTGTTTTCATCACTGCTCATCCACACAGAGAGGAGATAAATATTATCCTAGAGAATGAAATAAAGTAATAAAGCAGAGCAAATCCCTGGAGCACAGCTTCACTCGTCGCATAATAAATAACAGCATGGTTACAAACGATCCTGCTCTTCCAGGTATTAAGACTCTGCTTGACATTGTGGCTATAAGAAAATAGATTTTGGATGCACCAAAATGAACAAAATGAGATTGAGAAATGTATCTCTTCTCTTTTCGTTAGCCAGTTCCCCATGTGGTCTGCTGCTTCTAAGTCAGGAGAGATCCCCTACCCTTTCCCTGCTAATTCAGCTGCTGCAGGGAAGCCCCCAGAGTTGTCCTGTAGCCTGTCCCTCCTGTGTGCTTCTCCAGAGCATGAGAGCATGCAAGAGCACAGGGCAAGGAGCCAGAGGCCCACAACAGCTCCTGTGGCATAGGTTCTCCAAGCAATCCTTACCTCACCAAGTTCAGCAATTTTAGTTCCTCTGTACTATTTTATCCCTTATCCACAGCATAAGGAATGTTTGTGACTTTTCGTGATGAACAAGACTGGCTTTAAAGGAGGTGAGCAGGCTTCACTGATGACCCTGAGATTAGCTCGGTTATAGTATGGCATTAATAATGCCAAGGTTGTGGGTTCAATCCCCATTCATTCATTTAAGAGTTTGACTTGATGATCCTTGTGAGTCCCTTCCAACTCAGAATACTCTGATTCTGTGACATCAAATAGGTGAGACTTAGTTTATCTTAATACACGCTGTGAGAATTGCCACTAACCATAAATGCAATAATGGAGATAAAAGAATGGATAAACTGTTTAGTCTGAGAAAATGCGTGAGCTGGGGATTTTCAAGGTCTCTGAGGATGCAAATGTTTGGAAAAAAATTGACAAATAACTTGAGTTCAAAGGTACAGTAACTTCTGGTGAACAGGATGACTCCTTACTGAGCCTCAGGGGAGGCAGGGCTGTCTCCCTTGGTACATCCCTGGGAGATGTGTTGCACACAGCACCTGCACTGCTGATGGACCTGCTTAAATGGAGTGAAAAGGTGATGTTGAGATCGAGTTCAAAACAAAACAAAAAAAAAAAGCAGTGAAATATTGTGTTGGTCCTCACATTCATGGTGACTCAGGTGTTGGACCTGAAGTTCAGGGAGTAGCATAATAATTCTGTTTTTCAGCCCACACTTGGTTAGAAAGAAAAATAGAAAAGTGAGTTTTATCTTCACTAGGAATTTCTACATTGCACTTGTTCTGTTACCTGGTCTTTGTTCAGTGGGATGGGAGACACCTGATTTTCATGTCCTTATCTGGATGGAAGTGAGATCATCCCACAACGTCTGATACCTTTATAAACATGTTGAGAATGTGTGATCCAGCCATACCATTCCTCCAAGAGAGTAATACAAATTTCATAGGCATGAACAGAGCCAAATGAGGGAAGGAATATTTCTTAGTTACGCTTGTGTGGAAAGAAAGTCATAGAAGTTTCAGACAAGCAGGATTTCTCTAGTTACTTTACCAAAAGAGTAAACTGGGCCTGAGATAGAATTTGATGTCATTGTATGTGGAAACTGGAGAGTTCAAGCAGGTAATAAATTGAATGTTTTGAGTACCTAGTGTAGCTCTGGCAAGGGGGAAAAACAGTGACATTTTTCACGACCATTTTGTGTTGAATAAATCCTAGTGGATTCTGTTTTGTCCTTCAGTTCCTTTGGGTAATTGGCCTGGGCAAGGAATAGTCAATGCCCCTGAACTGACTGCAAGCATGAAATTTGCACTGATGAATATTAGGAAATGTGTGGAGACATACACCCCAGAACCAAATAGCTTTAAAGTTACGCTGGGAAAGCCAGGCTTCTACTGTAGATTCATTAATGAAGATCGATGTATAGAAACACGAACAGATTCCAAAGCCTTTAGTGAAAGAGAAGACTTTGGTTACTGGTCTCAAAAGCTCAGACTTATGAAAGATATCCTTAGGCAGAATCAGCTCCAGTGCTATGGCCCCAAAGGCACTACCAATCCCAAATGTCCCTGCACAGCCTCTCCTGTGGCTACCACCACATTGCTCATGGCTCAGGACCCCATTTCAACCCTTCCTGAGGCACCCAGTCCTGGTTTGAGCTGTGCTGGAGGAGTCTTGGTCTCCAGCCTTGCTTCATGTATGGACCTCAGACCTACACTGCAGCCTCATCTCCACCCTTGTCTCTACTTTTTCCCTTTTTTGCTCCAGACTGCACTCTCCGGATGGACCCTGAGCTTGGTTTGTCGGTTGCTTTGCTTGGGACTGCCAATGGATCCTGACACCAGCCTGATGTGTTCAGACCCCGTGAGACAGCACCCATCAGGAAAGGCACCAAGGAGGATCCCAGCTTCTCTTCCCTCGTGGAGCAGCCCCACCCTCGCTACTTCCTGACATTCTTGGATCATGTCTGGAGGTTAAACAGCTCCAGGTTGGTATAGAACAGTCCTTCAGCAATGTAAAATAACAGTAAGATGTACAAGGGAGCCTCACAGCGCTAAGACCTTTTCTGCTTAACAGAAAAATATCTACTTTTTAAAAGGACTGTGTTGTGTACTTTCATAAACAAATTCCTCACCTGAAGATTTTTTCTAAGTCTTTCATTCCTAGTTATTTATTCCTGACTATGGGATTTTCATGCAATAGTAATGTCCTAGAGTTTGTATATGTCACCCTGCCACAAAAAAAGTCATGCTAAATTAATCTGTCTCTGCTCAACCCATACTTGACACTTCCTCCTGTCACTGGAAAAAGCAAGTAGCTGAGGTGTTGGTGTGTGCAGTTCAGATGCTTTATTCCATTTTTTCCCATCTCTTGAAACTCAGCATTAAAATTCTAGGGTATGGCTTTTTAACACAATAAATTATTTCTATTGAGTTTTCAGGCAATGGTGAGGGAGACACATTAATAATTCAAATATTTCTGCTGTTTTCAGAGTTTCAGAAGCCAGGTATGTTGTTTGGTATTTTCCAAAAGGTCAAAGGCATGTAGTTACTGCCAATGAAAGATTTCGTATTTGAGTGTTATGACTGCACTTTACAGCAAGTGAGCAATAAAAACCTGACAGTCAATGCATATTTAGAAAGTTTGATTCAACTTACCCGGTTCTCCTGGAGATTATTAGTTCAGCTATATCTACTGATCATGTGGCCATGGGAATTTTTCTCTGAACTGTGGAACAGCTCAGGGTGAAGAGCAGCCTAAGGCTGACCATTAGCAGTGTTTTCCAAGGACTTCTGCTACAAGAAAAAATATTCCAATGCATTTTCAGAGTACCCCTAAGGATAAGTGGATTGGCTTTTCTTGTAGGGTGGTAGCGTAGAGAAGAACCAGTGTACTGTTGATTGGCCTGCTGCTTTTGATCCTACAAGCTTATCTACCTCTTGCAACCATCCAAAAGACAGCCAATTAGCTAAAAATCAATTCTTTTATGGAGACGCAGAAGATTAATTTGAAAAAAAAATAAAATTGAATGATTTCTTGCAATCTGGAACTAACCTTTTCTTCATAGTGCTGACTAAGTGCTCACAGCACCACTGCTACCTAAGCCACCCTGCAACAGCTAGCAGTAGATGCTGCAGATCAGCAGCATATAGATCATCCTTTTCTCAGACATATAGATCTCATTAGTCCTGTAAGGCAAGGAAACAAAGAAAAGAGCAATGAAGCCAGGGGGCAATACTCTTCACTTCTTGAGAAAGATTAGAGCTAGCAAGGAACAAGCAATACAGCTGAGGGGAGTTTCTTATCCTGTCAAGGAGAACTACAGTCATCATCACATGCCCTGTTAAATCTAGAAAGTGTAAAAAGATCTGTATTTTTAGAAATTTACCACTTACTTCAAAATAAAGTGAACAAAGAAATGAATTGTACACCGTTCAAGACTGTAAGGTGGTTTTCCTCTCACCAAAACTATTTTCCTTCATTTTCTTAGATGTTACTTGATGTGTTAATTCACATAGCAGCAGAATTCTCAGGGCAAGGACTTTGTCTTAATTTTTTTCTTCTTTTTTTTTTTTCCCCGCCCCAAAGCACGCAAGATTTCTAATTCTGGGTTTAGCAGGGTAGCTTCCCCTAATGGCTTTGACACAATCCTAACACAAAAATAGCTTTCATCACTGTGCAGTCCAATATAAACAGCCCTAGAAAACGCCTTCCAGACTTCCAGCAGCCCCTTGATATCATCTTTGGATAACTGTTTGGCTGCAGAGAACCTATGAATTTACCACTTACTTGTTTGAATTTTTTCAATTTTACCTTTATCTCTGCAAGCTATATTAGTCCTGCTGCTAAACGAGGTTAGTGGTCTAAACATTACTAAAGCAAGCATGCTTTCCACTTCCCTCCATTCTTACAGTGCTATGCAATTTTTACCTGGGGTATCCTAGATTTTTCTTTTCCTTTTAGCTTTCCTAAATTAGCATACCCTTCACCGATATTGTAGTCCCAGATTAAGTGTAGATCCAAGCATTCTTGAACTGGAATTCGTATCCAAGTTTTGGTTCTGAACCAAACCAAAATCTTAGATGACAATCCGATTCTCAGGAATAAAGTTCAAATTGGCTAGGCATCAAGCCCACAGATCATTAAACTGCTTTGTGTAAGCCTTGTATATGTTACATTGTAAATAGTAAGATTTTCAATTTTTCCATCTATTTCCTTTTGCCTGATGCTTTTTGCAGTCTTGTAGCCCTAATGGCAGTTAATAAAAGGTAAATAAATATTGCTGAGAGAATCTGAAGCAAGTTTTATAGCCCTTAAATCAAATTAACTTTTGCAGTCATGAACTAATGAATTGCCTCTCTTTTGTATGATTCAATCTGGAATTTGTGATTTAAGTTTTCTGTAATTTAGCATTCTTTTTGTATAAAGGCTATAGAAAGACATAAAATTAGCACATAATAAAATGAATTGCTGAACTTATACCATTGAGAAAAAGAGCTGTAACACATCCAGACATATTAAGTCTTTTGCTGAGAAAAAAAAACCAACTAGGCATGCCTAATATTGCTTGTCCATTCTTTCTCTGTAAAAAGAGCCAAAAAAATTTGGACAAAGTTGTTGTAGTCATAGATTGGACTCAATGACCTGAGGTCTTTTCCAACCTAATTGATTGTGCGATTCTGTGATTCTGTGATCTCTTCGTGTTGTCATAGGCTGCTACCTGATCACCCTTTAGCCCTTCCTTTGCCAGACAAAGAAGTACAACTGCCTCAGGTTTTCCCCATAACTCATGTTCTCTGTGTCCCTGGCCAACCCGATAGACACTTTATAGCTCCTCTCCAAGTTTTAACATCTCTCTTGAAGGGAGGTAGGTTCTCAGAAGTGAACACAGTAGACCAGTTATGCCCTACTCCTCCCTTTGAGTGTGGAATAACCTCCCTTGATCCCCCTAAGGTAACCCTTGATGGTTTACTTTGATCATTATGAGAACACATGGTTAGCACATGTTCAGCCTGACATCCACTGTAGTGCCTGAGTCCTTTTGACTGAGTTTGCTGCCCTGCCAGTTGGTTCCCAGCCCATACTGATGCTTGGGGTTAATCTGCCCAGAGGTATTGCATCCTATTATTTTTTATAAATTTATTATTATATTGTTCTTATTATTATCATTTGTGTTGCCCCAGTCCCTGAGTTTTTCAGGTTTTTGTGAACTTAAGTTGTGCCATTTGTCATGTCCCCCCTCTAATTTAGCATGGAAACCACGTCCACATAACTGTACTGATTGATTAAAGATATGTGTTATATCTGAATGCTGAGAGTTGATCCTAAGGTCTTCTCCTGGTTTGTAGGTAGATTGTAAAACATCTCTCCTGTATGGACTGGACACTAGATGAATATTGCTGAGAGAAGGTGACATGTAATACTCACCAGATGGCTTCAGCCCACACTGTACTTTTTAGAGGAGGACTGTCCTGTGCTGGTTTCTTACAAGCTGATCTACTTTAGCTACTCAGAAAACAGCTGTGGTAGTTCTTAAGAACTGTTTACTGATTGAAACCATGTCATATTATTAGAAACATTTATAAGTATTGAAAACATAACAATACTGAATGATCTAGCATCTTCATAGAACAGTTGATATGCTGGTACCATTCTCTCAGATAAGTTTTACAGCTGTAAGTTGTGATTAAAAGGGGGGGGCGGGGAATGAGCACAACAGTGGGAACTGTTCCAAGGGCAGCGATAAAGATCTCCCTCCTTGTCTGGAATTGCCCTTTAAGCCCTAGACTCTTAATCAGCAGCAAAAGGAAGCAAAAGCTTCCTTCCCTGACTAGACCTGATTTCAACAAAGATGTGAGAGTGTCTTTCACAAAATACTCCCATCACAATCTGTGTAAGAGCTGTTTTAAAAATAAAAATTAAAATAGCTTGGTCTTTTGCTTCCTTCAGTTGTTAGACTAAATAATAAGAGACCAGCACCCTTTCTGATGGTCATTTTCATGAATACAGAGCTGTCCCTGTTTCACTGAGATAAAGCAACTTCAGCAATGTGTGTTCTGCTTTGCCAGATAGTCTATCTTTTTTAGAGGATGAAATTTCTTCATCCAAAAAGTGAAATTTAATCATCTTTATAGGAAAAACAAGGCCTATCTGGAGTTTTCTGGTAGATGATTGTTTTCTTCAAATCTTCCCATCCCTAGAAATGTTTTACAAATCCAGATTTAGCAGGGAATTAGGACCATTGTCCTAAAGTGTATTTCATACCATATTATGTAAAGAGCATAAATTTCTATTTTACTAGTTCAGGGCAGGGAAGGAACACAGGACAGACTGAAAAGCAGAGATACATCTGTACCTCATTACTCTAAAAGAGCCTCTGGCCTTTCCAATGCTAGCATAGCCCAAAGACAAGGAAGCCTAATGAAGGCAATGCTGACTAGGTCTGAAGAATGCTGAACCCACAGGGAAATGGGCTTCATGAAAGGAGAAGAGGAAGACTGACAGGAACTGGAGTCAGAGACAGCAGCAAAAGGTAGTCAGTTGCTGAGACAGAAGAATACACTAAAGTGTTTTGAGTGTGTGGGCAGGTTGCTTGAATACTCTCCTTTTAATGCACACAGCAATGGGAAAAAATACTAAATGTTTGTAATTAAGTGTTTAAAGAGTATCTACCTGTTCATATTTAAGGGAAACTTTTATTCCAGGCACAGATAAGAATTTGGGTACTTTCAAAAAGTCCCATTAACCACTTCTGTGAATCCTTAGATGACAACTGTGCTAGGTTTAGGCACTTAAGAAAGTTTTCCATTGTATCCCCCAAGGAGAAACTATTAAGTTTTATACAGGATAATCATTACTCTAAATATAATGAGTCAGGCTGTAGATCTGTCATGAAGAGCTTTGAACTCATAGCAAAAAGCCATAATTCACAGCAGTTACAGTTTGGAATATTTATTAGGATTGCATGTGGCCATGCCAGTGCAGAGAATAGGAAATGTCGATAAATCTGCTAGGTCAAACTGACTGTATTGTAATAAGTGTTGTTCCCACACTATTTTCCTTTTTCCAACCAGTTTCTCAGCTCAGAACTATAGTCCCGAATCTGCCTTTCCCTAAAGGAAAAACATGTTTTCCCTTTGTTTGCCTATCCTTGTTACTTTTATGACCTTTGGCAGCTTCTGAAAACTGCTACGTAGAAGACAAAAGAGCTATAGTCTCTGATGTATGACTGATGAAGTAGGCATGTAGGCATGTCTGTAAGAGCTGGGGAATGGAGCTGTACCATACTTCAAGTGCTTCTATCTGGGGTACAGTTGAATATTATGCTAAATTAGGTTTGCTGACGAGTACCTCAGACCAGTCTGTGAAACCTCTTTTCCTGTTCCGGTTTGGTAGCTTTGATGTTCTTATCTACAGTACTTTCAAATTGCAAAGTCTACCCTGGGAAGTTCAACCTCTGAAGTTAAGTGAGAATTTAAACTAGTATAAATACTCCCTTTTTCTTTGAACAGTTCCAGTGGTCTTCAGTATAGTTATTTTGATTTGCAAATATTGGTGAAATTTGTGGATTTGTTTGCACAGTCTGCATTTTTGTTCCTCACAAGTTATCTTAGTTTGCGGCTGATATTCATGTTAAGTGCTGATGAACACACTTTGCTTAAATATTAATTGGAGAAAGTCCAAAGAACACATTTCAACTAAAAAAAAGCTGACAGTTTAAAATCCTGACCCAATTAAAACTTTTAAATTAAACATGTCGGTTAGTGTAATATGAAAAAGGATTTTACTTTGCAGGAAAAACTTATTAGATGAGACAGAAAATAAATTCATGTGTCAGTCAGCATGACGAGAACAAATTCTGTGTAACTGAGGTGCTGATGTTCATTTTCCCTGCCATGTCGTGTACGATGCTTTAAGCAGACTGTGCTGTTCAGCCTTGGTAAAGTGCAGAAGGAGCATGCATAACTCCAAGGAAACCTCTCCTATCTGTTTGTGTTTGTTGTTTTCCCTGTAGTTTTAAACCAACTCCCAAATGATAGATATAGGACAATTGACAGGCATTAGGAGCTTGTATAGAAAGAGCAGAGAAATAATGAATGAGCAGAACTGTTTTCAGTTGGAAACTAGAATGTGCAGGGTTTACAGGTGGCTGTGGGATATTCTTTGTTATCTGGTCATGCAAAGTGGATCAACGGGAAAGAGCTGATAGCAGGGCTCCAAAGGGCAATGGGTTTCAGTGAGTACAGGAACGGGGCTGACAGTGATGCTTACTTACACAAGGGTAGTGTTGTTGCTGTGGGTTTTAATCTGAGTTACATGCATGAATACAGATGTCACTAGGAAAGAATTCAAAATGTTCAGGTTGCCAGACGTTGTGAAAGAAATTAACAAGGGGCGATAATGTGATTGGTCACATGTTTGTTCTCAAAGTATTTTTTCCCAAGACAGCATTAACCTGGGTCATTCATGCTGCACAGAGTGGAGGGTGTCCATGATTATTTTGACTTCCCAATGTTCAATATCATGGAGCACTCAATTCAGAGCAATAATCATGATCTATGCTTTTTCTTATCCATGTATCCAATTACCATTCATTAGCTTTGGATTTGAGACAGGTTTATGTATGAAACTATAAGCATATATAAGAGAATATGTGCCTGTGGGGTGCCACAGTTTGTCCTTGCCTTTTGAAATGTTCAGAAAAAAAGGATGAAAGTACCACTTTCTCCGCAGAAGCTGATGCTTTGCACAGACATCACTAGAGGAAGGCAGAGCCAGGCTGCAGATATACAAATGAAGGGGAGGGTTACCTCCTAGATTTCATTTTTAATGATTGGATTCTAAGCTAAATTTAGAGAGCCTGCTTTATTACAGGCTCTTCTGACACTGTCTAAAGGTCAGTTAACTGCTACAGACAGCTTGGTAGCTAGGACTTTATATAAACTCCTGTTTGCCAAATTCCTATGCTTGTCAAATACAATTGAGATTGAACTTCCTTTGGATATTTGTCCAAGAAAAGTGGGGTTTGAGCATCAAAATTAATATTAAAGTTGTTTCTATGACCAATACCAGAGAAAAATATAGCGTTTTGTTGATAGAAATTAAGTAAATTGGAGAAGATTAAAGAGACAAGAATAAAGAGGATAGTATGGGGTATCAACAGAGATCAGAGTGGGGTGGGAGGATAGTAAAGAAAGGGACAAGGAGATGTGGACAGACAGAAACAGAAAAGGTCTACAGAAGTAGGATAAAAAAAAAGTAGACAGTAGGGACTGTGAGGAACTAGCAACTGGACCCTACTATCTGAAAATGCTCAGTAAAAGCCACATGTGTCTCTTCCAGTGATTTGCTTAAACAGAGAGGAGCAGTCTGTTGTGAATATTACTGTTGCCTGAAATGATAGAGGTCTGTGCCATGATATTAAAAATCCGTCTCCATTGATAAGAATTACTAGAACTGGCTTTTATAAGATCTGGAAAAGGGTATGCAAGTTACTGTATGGGAAAAATACTAAGCCTGTAAAATCAAGCTTCTGTCAATCATGCCAGAAATATAGTTAGCTGTACTGTTTTAAGCTGATCATCTGTAACATGCATTATCATACTTTCTAGATATAGCATAATATGACCTTTTTCCCCTTCAATGGGTCTATGAGTTTGCCTAACATGAATTATGCCACCTTTCATGACTCTCAGGGTTTTTTCAATACACTGAGAAGTATTAGTATTTTTAGATGACTATTGATTTCTTATACTGTAGCACAAATCTGAGCCAAATTTCTTTACTTAATAATATCTTGAATTGCACCACAAGATGTTATTGGTTTGAAATAAATTGGAATTGCTGTGTTTTCCTGACAGGACTTAGCTTTAAAAAAGGGAATTCATTCATAAAAAAGTAAACGTATCTCATAAAATTACTCTTTCAGAAGTTCATTTGATGTTTTCAAACTACCATGTTCTGTAGGCGTATGAAAGGATCTAGAGAGCTTGTAGGGATTTTGTAAAGTACCAGCTTAAAAATGAGCTAAAGAATGCTTAATGTCTCAGCTTTCTCACTGATTAATGTGTATTTTTAGTGGCTCCCTGTCTTTTAACTAATTAAAACTATGTATTAAACTTTGTATGGTTGACATACTGCAAATGACATATGTAACATATTAAAGTTAATGAAGAGGGAATTGTTGATTAATAGTTTATAAATGGCACCAATAAATAAATGTCAAAAGGACACTGCTCTCAGTTATATAAATTATTCTTTAGCTTGAAGACTGCTGATGTTGCTAATATAGCCCATTGTTGAATCCCTGCTACAAAGTTTTTAGTACCTCTGACTTTCATTAGTCCAAAATCCTTGAGTGGTTCTTAATCACGCTGCCAATTTTTAAGCAGCTTTGAGACACCAATAGAAATTACTCCTTTTAAACCCAGTAAGTCCTGACCTGTAGTTCTTAACCTATCCCTCCTTAGACACAACCACTGTTGATTTTAATGTATGTGCAAGCAAGTTCTAAATTCAAATTCAGCAGCCCTAGAGAGGTAAAAAGGTCAGTTTCACCCCCCACCATCACTACCCCAGTGGTACAA